CGATGCTGGTGACTCAAAGCTGTGTGTGTTAAGAGCCAATATATTGTTCTATTTGGTCCGTGGTAATTGCATTGGAGTTCACTTTGGGCTTGTTGCATGCACTGTTTTGTAGAAACGTTTCCTTTTTTTATGCCGGAAGGATCAACTTCCCCTTAAAGTGTGGAGTAATAAAAATGTTGCTGATGTTGTTTAGCTGTTTGGTTTGTACATACTGGATGGAAAAAGGGCACTGGCTGAATCTGAGTCTTTTACGTGCTTTGCACAGCCACCAGTCCGGCTGCAGGGACTGTCCTGGAGAATTACTGCGAAGTCCTGGTAGTTTCCGGTTTGGTGAGCTGTTGGAGCAAGGTTTGGTTTATAGTAGGTCTAATTACAGGAGTCCAGATAGACCCCGTGGGGCTGATTGTTGTCATCCCCGCAGCTGCCAGGAGATGCAGACTCATGTTCCTCTCCCTGAACAGCTGAAGGCAGAATGGTCCCTCCCAAGAGTTTGGGAACAATTTCTTCCTTCAGTCACTGAGCCGTCTCTGGTCCGCTCCGCAGGTGCGGGCCCAGGTGATCCAGGAGACAGTTGTTCTGAAAGAGCCGCCTCCGGAGTTTGAATTCATTGCCAATCCTCCCTCCATCTCGGCCTTCGACTTGGATGTGGTGAAGCTCACGGTGCAGTTTGTGGCTTGCAACGGGCGGCAGTTCCTGACGCAGCTGATGCAGAAGGAGCAGAGGAACTATCAGTTTGACTTCCTCCGCCCCCAGCACAGTCTCTTCAACTACTTCACGAAGCTGGTTGAACAGTACACAAAGGTACTTCTGGCATTTTACCTGTCTTGGCACTTATAGCAGATGCGGTAAGTAAAAGTTGTGGGGTTTTAAATATGGAGGATCGTTGGAAGGCCAAGAGCGAATATTTTTAAGTGCAAATGTGAGCAATAAGTAACAAGAGGGTTGCAACAGAATAAACGTAACGTAGCCCCAGGGGTCTGCTGATATTTTTATCAGTGTGGAAAGAGAATAATTGCTTTTAAGGAGGCTTTGGCAAAAAGAATTGTCACCAATTGTCATGCAAAATGTGTTTCAGATCTTGATCCCACCGAAAGGCTTACTCCTCAAACTCAAGAAAGAGGCTGAAAATCCCAAGGAAGTCCTAGATCAGGTATCATATGAAAAATTAGCAAAATTGCTGAAGCGTCTCAGTGATGTGTTGAATTTTTTTCTCTTTGCCTGTTTCTGACTTACTGGTGGCAAATGCAAATACAGAGAGTAAAATGGATGTGTCCTCTGTGGTTACTGGAAGACGGTACCTGCACTTGCCTTTAAACCATTTTACAAAGCTGGTGCAGGACATTACTGCGTAGGCAAACCTGTCGTTCCTAAATGAAATACAAGTATTCCTTTGTCGTGCCGTGCCTGTGTCACTGCCCTGAAGGGTTGGTACCGTAACATTTTGGATGCTGTCGAGATGACGGTGATGTGTTCCTTGTCTGACATTTGGTGGTTCTTTACGTCTGCTTGTGCAGGTGTATTACAGGGTGGAGTGGGCAAAGTTCCAGGAGTGAGAGAGAAAGAAGGAAGAGGAGGAGAAGGAAAAGGAGCGTGTTGCTTACGCCCAGATTGACTGGCATGACTTTGTGGTCGTGGAAGCAGTTGACTTCCAGCCCAACGAGCAAGGTACTGAAGTCAAGCATTGTAACCTCTCTGAAACCCTGCTCCGTTTGAGTAGGAACTCTGTCCTGAAATGCTCTTTTTAGACAGATGTTGGGTTTTACAGCTGCATATCTTTCAAAGATAAAAGGGAAAGCCACCTAGTGACAGTGTGTAGGGCTGGGTTTTTTCTGGAGTCAACAGTGTTCTCCTTGCTCAAAGCCCAGGACTGCACTAGTGTTGGCTTTTCCACTCTCACCAGGACAGCAGAACTTGTCCCACTTTCCAGTGGTGCTTTCACCTGTAAGTACCTTCATCTTCACGTGTCCTGCTGGTGTTGGTCTGTATAGACTCTGTCCATTCCCTTCTATAGACCTTGGCTCCCAGGAGGTTTTGACACTGCTGCTTTGTAAAGAAAGAAACTGCTTTTCATTCAAGAAACTGATATTTCTGTCTGTGCACTGAGCAATGAAATGGGATAGAGAAACAGAAGCTCTGTTTTCTGTGTTGTAGGGAATTTCCCTCCTCCCACCAGTCCCGAAGAGCTGGGAGCTTGAATCCTGATCCAGGAGCGTTACGAGAAGTTTGGGGAAAGTGAGGAGGTAGAGATGGAGGTGGAGTCAGAGGAGGAGGATGAAAAGCAAGAGAAAACAGACGAGCCCCCACCCCAGCCGGATCAAGACACACAAGTGCAGGATATGGATGAGGTACCTACCCAACAGAATCAGCATTACTGCTGTCCCACGTAGTTTGTGTGGTTTATGGTGCCCTCATTTTCACTGTAAGAAGTTCCTCAGTTTCTTGAGGAAATGAGATTTCCTTCTGATGGAATTTCAAAAGAACCTGTTTCTGCTAGGATGCCGGACTATGGTGTTTTTAATGTTTTCCAAGACAATACAATTTCCAAGAGAGAAATCCAATGATTTTGACACCTGATGGGGGGTAGATTTTCTGTTTCTGTGGTGAAGCCTTTTGGGCTTTCTTCTGCAGAGTCTGGAACACTGAGCGATGACTCATTTTAGACTCTTCCTCTACCCACTGTGTGTGAGCTGGTTTGCTGGTAACGAGGAAAAAGAGCATGGTTAGCTGTAAGTAAGCTCCTGCTTGCTGTGCTGTGGTAACGTGGAAGCTGAGCGGTACTTGCTTCCTCTTCTGCATCCTCTGAATTTTTGGATCATGATTATCCAGAGGAACCACTGTGGCATAGGTGTCCAGAGGCAAAGTAGCTCTGTAGCTTTGAAGCTGCATGATCCGTTCTTCCAGCGCTGCGTAGGATTTTTATGCCTTTCTCGAATCTTGTTTGTTGTTGTTTGACTAAAGGAGCTTTATTTTTTTTTCCCCCCAAATAAGGGCTCAGATGATGAAGATGAAAGTCAGAAGGTTCCTCTTCCTCCAGAAACCCCGATGCCACCAACTCTTCCTCCCACGCCAGATCAGGTCATTGTGCGGAAAGATTACGATCCCAAAGGTAAATCTGGCTGGTGAAGAATTAGTTTCTTCCTGAATAACCACGAAAGCATTTGTTTGTAGGCTGCATTCTCTGGTGTGTTTTTAAC